CCTTACCCTGCCTTTGGCTTTAATTTAAAATGAACATCTTGCAGGGGGATTAAAGCAGATGCAGGCAGATCTCTGTCAGTCTGAGCAGCCTGGTCTACTTAGTGATTCTAGGACAGCCAGGACTATAGGGTTAGACCCTGTCCCAAAAATAACCACAAAAGTATATTTTTTTATGTTTTAATCAGTTGAATTTTCAATGTACTGATGGGAGATGCCATTCTGTAAATATGTTTCTCATACTGGTTAATGAATAAAGCACTGTTGGCCAATAGGAAAGGAAGATAGGAGGGACTAGGAGACAAGGAGAAAGAGGAAGTAGTAAGGAGGAGTCAGCATGGAGAGTCTGGAGAGAATAGAACCGCCAGCCGCCTCTCGCTGGTAAGACCACATGGAAATACATAGAAATGGGTTAATACTTAAGACAGAGCTAGCCTATAAGAAACAAGTAACTAGCCAACAGAATTATATCAAATACAGAGTCTCGGTGTGTTAATTGGGGCTGGCACGGCGGCAGGAGGAAAAACCCTACTCCTTACAATATACAGATGGGATCACATCCCCATGCTTAAAGTTTTGACTGTGCGGTAAGCTATGCGGTACCTGCCATGCCTTCTCTGGGGTCCCAGAGTAGTCAGGAGCGGTCCACCATCAGGGTTCCCAAATGAACCAGTGTGAACGCAGTGTGTTCAAGTGTTAGGTCATGTCTCGTGTCTTACATGTTCTAAGACTGCACAGGCCATCTACAGCCTTCTGCGCCTCACTATTTGCTGTACTGAGCTCACAAGTTGGTACCTGGGACTCTGGACCAACAACGCAGTGCTATGCAAGTCACTCAAGTGTTTAGTTTCTCTTGTCTGTGCCTGGTGCATTTCTCAATAGTGCTGCAGGAAGGCTGCCTCTTCCTTGTGTACACTGGTGAAGCTGTGCATCTCTGCAAACTTGACTCCATCTCCTTCTCAGCCCCTGGGTTTACTTCCAAGCTTACTCTTCTCTAACTTGAGTAATTCCTGGTCACTGCCTAAAGGGCATCCTGGAATGACTGGAGATCTCCAGGTGCTGAGAGACTCAGCAGCTGGTTCCAGCTGGATCCAAGCAGACACGCAAGATCAAGTCAACTACTGAGCAGTCTGGGAGCACCAGTGAAGATGGTCAGCTAGTGAGAGCCAACCGAACATAACTTCTGTATCTGTGATGGTCTGAATGCCTGCACACCCACAGCTGGCGTGTTCGGATGCTGAGCCCAGAGTGGCTGTGTTTGGAGAGAAAGCCTCCAAGGGAGTAATTAAGGGGAAACGAGGTCTCCGGGGCAGCAAGCTGATCCAGTAGGTCTGACAGCCTCAAGAAAGACAAGTTTGCTCTCTCTTGGTGTGCACACTAAGGACAGACCATATGGTCACAGCGCGAAGGCTGCCTGTCCCCTGCAAGCCGATGTCCTGAGGCTGAACTGTCTCCAAACCTTGGCCTTGTACTTCCAGAACTGAGAAAATCCACTCCCCTTGTTTAAGTCGGTCTGTTCATTCTGTGAGGACAGTCCAAGCAGACCGGCAACAGGAGGCAGATGACGAACAAGGCATGTGGAATGCAGTTTGCTCACCGTTTTCTCATACACGTTCTCAATAAAGTGAAATCTAACTTCGTGCAATTCATCCTAATTCAGCAAACAACTGTTTGACCTTACGTTCATTGTGCAAACAACATAAGTAATTCTAGAACACGTGCATAATCTCAAAGAAATCCCATAGCCATTTGCCCTGTACCCACTTCTTACCACACCAAATCCTCCGCAACCACTCACCCACTTTCTGTGTGGACAGACTGCCATCTGCACATTGCATCTGTCCATCCAGTGATGGAGCCCCGGGCTCCCACGTTTGGGCAGCTGTGGATAAGCTTCTGTGTGGACATTTGTTCTTTTTTGTGAGGGATGCAGGGGTGGGTAGGGCTTTACTTAGGAGTTATATGACTATAATATAATATCATACCTGAACTTTCCGAGGTCATGCCTACCTGTTTTCCAAAGTGGCCACATCCCATTATAGCCCCCACTCACAGCTTATGAAGCCTACAGTTTCTCCCCATATTTACCAGCACTTGCCTGTTCTTACGGATCCAGCATCCCGGTGCAGGAGAAACGCGATCAAGCCATGGCTGATCCCATCTCCTTCCTGAACGGTGATGCTGAGTATTTGTATATGTTTACTGGTCACTTTCCCTTCTAGAAAATACTGTCAGAAATCATACACAATGTTGGCTATATGCTAGGTGTTTGACGCCACTTTTTTTTTTTTTTTAACCTACCTCCTTATAATACTGAGATGTAGTGTTACCTATTCTTGACTCTTTTGAGAAAATGGTATTTTAGCTCAGACTTAGCCGTGAATTTCAGTTCCTCCTGCCTCCATCTCTTGAGCGTTGTGACCACACACATGTGCCACCATGCCCAACTTTATACCATGTATTTCTTTACAACTTATTATTAGTTAGAAACTATTTTCTATCCACTTTCTACTTTGCTTAAGTGCCCGGAGACGATTAACTATGGCTAATTGTGGTAATTTAGTTCCTAGAAGTAAATTATCTCTTTCCTCTAGATTCTTGACTGCCCTGCCCAAGGGACCCCAGTATCGGCCAGCCAGGAAAGATATTTATTGATCACCTGATATTTTTAATGATGCACGAATCCAGTGGTTCTCAACCTGTGCGTTTTGATCCCTTTGTAGATTGAACCACCCTCGGATATTTACATTATGATTTGTAACAGTAGCAAAATTATAGTGATGAAGTAAAAAAACAATTTCACGTTGGGGTCAGCACAGCATGAGAAACTGCATTAAAGGGTCACAGTGTTGGGAAGGTTGAAAACCATGGCACTGATCTCTAGCAGTGGTCAGCTGTGGGCTAAAAAAGGAACTCTTGGCTCTCCTTACAGACCCCCCCTTCTGAACTGTCCCTGCCCCAGCTTTCAAGTGCTGTGGGCTGATTCTCAGAGGCCCCTCTACGTGTCCCCTCCACCCCCCAAAAAAAAACTGACTGCAGAGTTTTATGTTGCTTGTTCTTTTGTCTGCCTTTGGCCTTGCTGACCTTTCAGTCACTGTTCGAATCCATCCAGTGACTGAACAGTGGGAGCTGAAGTGAGTCCTCGGTGGCTCGGGCACAGGGACACCACAATGCCTTTGGGCCAGTCTGCCGCCTCCGGCTCAACTGCAGTGAACTCAGGCACTGGTGCAGCCTGAAATTCCGCCTTGGTCATAGCTTCCTCTTCCTCTCAGGATCTCTGCTGACATCAGGCATGACCTCCCATTGGCGCTCATGGGCCCGTAGCCACCACGTTAGACCCCTGAACGAACTCCTTTGCTTCCTGAAACGGTAATGTCTGCATAGTTCAGAGGAGCATCTATTAGAGAGATGGTAGGCAGGATGACATGAAACGCCTCTGTGAAGGGGCCCCGTGAGTGAAGGGATCAGCAGTTGAAGTGTCACGTCATACAGGCCACAGTGATGATAGCAGCGGGGATTTTAAAGGAGGCATGGCTCTAGCTCAGCAGGAGCTTCCCCGGGTTCCCATTGATGTACACATCCTCACTTGCACCTTTACGGATGTGCTGTTCTGTAGGGGAAGCAAACTTGTCCCACCTAAGTGACTTCCTGCCATGAAGAATTGGAGGATTCTCCTCCACCTGCAGGAAACCAAGGGCTCCAGACAGTTCCCTTTACATCAGGAGTCAAGAACACCTCCACGTGGGCCCATCCCTGGGCAGTGACGAAAGCTAAACTTATCCTGACAGGGTCTCTGTATAAGCCAGATGACCAATACTACCTCAGAGCCAGAGATGTGCCTGCTTCTGCCTCCCAAGCGTACACCACCACGCTCGGCTATGCAACTTTCTTAAATGGGCAAATCAGTGCCAGAGAGTAAACTGCAGGTCTACGCATGACTTTTACTTTTTGCAGTGCTAGGAATTGTGCATATCACCTGTACCACTGAGCTGCAGCCCATGTTTCAGTCCGTCCATCTGTAAATGTAGGTAAGAAATTTACTTCACTCCTGAGTTTTAACAATAGATCCGCTTACTAACAACAGAGGGCACTGTCTATTTGCCAGGTTACATTCCACAGGCATGAGAAGAGAGGTAAGAGGCCCGCCTGAGTCCATGAGAAGCTTGCTGATAAGGTCAGCTCCTCGTGTTCTGAGGATGTGTTCAGAGAGATGACAGGAAGAGCCAGGCCCCTCCACATCGCCAGGACAGAGAGGAAACTGCCGTAGTCCACCGGCTCAATGAGGACCCCACCTCTCACCTCCACAGAAGCCTGGTACAGACGCAACCCGAGGAAGATCGTGTGCGCGTGCGCGTGCGCTGACGCGAGCTTTGCAGACTGGCCTCAGGCTGGAATGTAGGAGTGCATCACACCTGGCTCGTGTGCTCTTCTCTATGCTGAGTGAGATCAGGACAGGGTCCTGCTGTGCGATGTGCCACCCCCGATTGGTGTTTTGAACCCAGCATCTCCGACCATGACTTTATTGGGCGTCTTATCATATGTAATTAGGTAAGGGTGCGCAGGAGCGGGGTGGGCCCCGCAGGCAGTGTGAGCGGTGTTCCTATAAGTAGGGTATCAAAACAAACACACACGAGGGGAAAGCTTGCAAAGAAAATGGCAAAAAGCCAAGGGTCAGCAAACACTGCCAGTAACCTCCAGAGCCAAGGGGCTAGGGCAGAGGCGCGCAATCTCAAATGGAACCCCAGGACACTGCTACCTCAGGTTCATACACGGGAGCCGAAACGTCTTTGTCAAATCTACCCATCTGTGGTAGTTTGTTCTAACAGCTCTAGCAACCACGTGAGGATGCAGAACTTGACAGCCTCATGGAGCAAACACCTGGTTCCACTCCAGGAGTAAAGAGACGATTACAGCCAGTAAGACACAGCAGATTCCACGGTTCCTTCACTATGTTTATTGCTTCAGCTAGTCAAGGCCCCTCCTGCCCTGCGGCCGTGTCCCAAAGACTATGAAGAGCTCCCAGTGTCCTTTGCACAGCCGGTGAGGGTAGTGCTCAGTACCTGTACTTTGTAGAGTAGTCCTTGGGAGACACTACTAGACCGCGGCCTTTGCGGGCACCACGGTACACAGTCTCTATGATGTCAACCATTTCTTGCTTGTCTTCCATGGCCCAATTGATCTTGTTGTTGTTGCCAGTGCCCAAATCAATCATGATATGTTTGTTTCTGAAAGAGAAAAGAGCAGCAATGCTCACAAGAGAATTCTACAAACAAGTCCATTTTTCCTGCTGTTCTAAGCTCCTACAATGTCAAAGAGACCACAGCCCCAAACCAAATTAAAACACTAAATATTATTCCCTAGAAATGCAATGCAGCAGTCATATACTTTTCTTGCACTCTTCTGCATTTCTTGCAGCTCGGATCCACCTGCCTCTGCCTCCCAAGTCCTGAACTGAGGGCATGCACCTGCTTGCAATCGTGCATTCACATTGTAAGACTATGAAGGCCCACAAAGGCAGTTGTCACTCAGAAAGACAAGTAGTTTTCTGTAGCACTAACTTTCCTGAAAAAGCAATGTGTAACTTTTTCATGTTTTGCTTACAGGAACTTGGTACAGATTTACCAAAAGCCTTGTAACTGTGGGTTGAGATTGGTCACTTGCATGACCTTGCCTGCTGTGACTGGGAAGCAAATTAACCCTTCAGTCAGTTGTCCTTCAGAGGATAGGTCCCCCTACCCTCAGCAACCTGCATTTGCACTTTCTGAATACGGATGTTAACTCCTGTTGCATTTGCATGAATTTTTACAAGTTTGCTAGATCTATTTTTATTAATTATTCACCTCTACCAGATCACATTCGGCTTCAACTGTAGTCCATGACCACGCCCCACTGGTTCTGAGAGCAGAAAAGAGGCTGGTCTGACACAATTTCTATGTGTCAAACACTTGCTCTCAGGGTAGCATTCCAAGTTCTCAGTTAGCCCAGGAATTGGGGTGGACGCCCACATCACCTACCACCCACAGTGTGGATGGTAGTCTTTTACACACCTGGCAGGGGTGTGATTAGACAGGAGTCTTCATCAGTTGTCTCTACAAAGGGTCTGTAAAGAGAAGAGCCTGGCTTCTCTCTCTGTGTCCCAGGCCTAAGAATGACCCTGCTCAGGGAAAAGAGGAAGTCTGTCTTCTCTGAGTACACCATCTGTCCTAAAGACTCAACTATGCTATGCCCTGCCTTGTCTATAGGAAGGATGGTAATCTCAGGGAGTAAGAGCTAAAGCACTATGACACTTCCCGGTGACACTGTGACTACAGATGCTCTTCCTGCCTGTGACTTTGGCAGGTGACAACTGCACAGGAAACCCCAGGCTCCCCCAAAGCTGGCTTTTTAAGGGATTAACCTGGGTTACATGGGTGAGTATAACCCTCCCTCTAGAGACGGGGCTGGCAGTCAAGACTGTGACAGACCATGGGAGGAGCCTTAAGGGCAGAGTGGCGGCCACCAACAGCAGCTAAGAATCCTTAGACACAGGAAGGGACTACAGACAGTTCTGCAGCCCACAAGTCACACCTGTGAGACCCTGGCAGGGAGTCAGTTGGCCCTGCTCATCTCCAGAACTAAGTTCACACATGAGAACCAGTTTACACTCTGTAAACTGTGTAAGATGAAACATACAACCCTGCTTATTAATTTGGACACAACTTCTGACTATATACCAACTGCTTTAGTAATTATAGAAAAAACTTTTGCTGAGCAGTGCCAACGTCAAATGGAGATCTCTTCCCTCTCTTTCCAAATCTCCTGCAGAGTGTTTGAGACGATCAAACAATGTTGATTTGTATAAGCCAAGTAGTTAAGTTCAGGGTTTCTTGAGTTTTACCAAAAGACCAAATAAATCAGTGATAATATCTAACAAGTGAAGTTACACTTTAAAAGGGTTACTCACCAGGCGATTTTACTCGAAGGATCTTAAATGCCTGTTAGAATGCCTTCCATTTAATTTTACTTCACACCGGCTTCTGCACACTATTTCAAATGTGTGATTTGTTAGAGTGAATGTTACACCTGCAATTACTACTCTGAAATCATTTAAAAGATTCACATTGAATCTTGTAAAACTGCATAACTGACTTCCTTCTAAACAAAAGAATCTGTACTATCACACTTCGAAACCAACAGCATTACATATAATCAACAACTTTAAGAAACATACCTGAAGAAAAACATGACAGTACAGGGGTCATACAACTCATACATCTTGTTGAAGTCGGGTACTTCTGTAATATCCACAAGATAAATAACTGCAAAATTTTTAACCTAGAAAGAGATTTAAAAACTAAAGTATCATTTTCATAAAAGCAAATCAAAGCAAAACTACGATTGTGTAACTGGGCTTTTTTTTTTTTCAAACCAGTTGTTAAATATCTGTCCCATAGAGCTGACAGAGGGAAACTGCTGCTGCCAGGGTCCTGGCTCGTACTACTTACAGCTCGCTCTGACATTTCCAAGTCACTTGGAAACTAAACTTGTTTTAGGCATCAAGTTAACAGTCCTGCAGAAAGTGTCCACAGCCCTGTCACTCACCTACCGAAAAGCCATATGCGCTTCTGTAAGTTTGTACTTTGACACACAGCCGTTACATGGATTAAACATGTTCATAAAACTCAACTGCCCATTCTTCCCAATTGCCTTTTCTCCAATGACTGCAAACAGCTACTAACCCATGAGTGACATTTTCTATCACTTCAAAGAATTTTCTAGCACAAATTCATCAGGTCAGAAAAATTAAAAAAAAAACAAAAAAACAAAAAAACAAAAAAAAGAACCAAGACTACGATGATCTTAAGTCTCACTGCTTAACATATATAGGTATAGTATATACATATACATACATCCATATATGTATGTATGTATGTATGTTTTTGGGGGGTAAATTCTGCCCGCCTTTTCCTAAGTACTTGAAAACTAGGCCATTTAACAAAGTGTGATCATGCTGTATCTATGTCCTGTTTTCCATTATAGGCATTCTCATGTAAATTTCCAAAGACATTTTTTGTTTCTTTCAAAATAGGCTGGCCTCCACCTGACATGCAGCTAAGGATGACTTTTACTTCTGGACCTTCCTGCCTGAGTGCTGAGTGCCAAGATTACAAGCTGGCATCACACCTGTTTTTTTTTTTTTTTTTGGTTAACACTGGGGCTACGTGCTTGGTAGGCAAGCATTCTATAACTGAGCCATACATATCTTTAGCCTTCACCAAAGACTGCTTTTTTAGCCGTCTGTTATTCCATCAAATGGCTACACCATTTTTTTAGCACTCTTTGATTATTTTCTTCCTGAGATTCTAGGAGTATCAATTAAGTCCAGCATGCACACTGTCTTTAAATTTATGTACATATTTCATCACTTCCTAAGGACAAATCTTAAAGCAGCCTTAGACACAGACTGTGATCTACTCCTTAGAAGTGCTCTGTGCACTATATAAAGGCACAACCTACACACGTCATAGTTGAACTGTGCCCAGGAGTCTTATTCCTAACCCTAAAACTAGAGGAGGGTCACTGCAGATGAAGTTCATCGGGTCAAGATGCGAGGTGGGTCCCAGTCCACAAGTGCTCTCTATTAAAGGGACAAGGTTACATGACAGCCACTGGGAACATGGGAACTGGAGACACCAGTGCCAGCTCGCCGTTACAAGGAGTGGTCCCACCCCCAACCACCCCACTGTCCCCATTTTCCATTCTCCCTCCAAACACCTTTAATTTGTTATGGGTCGGGGGGTGTGCACAGCATGCATGAGGAGGGCAGACAACTTTAGAAGCCAGGCTTTCTTTCACTACAGAGGGTTGAGCTCAGGTCATCAGGCTTATGGGCAATAAATGCCTTTTCCAGCTTATTAAGCCGTCTTGCTACACCCATCCACGCTTGGACCTATTGTCTCATTTTATCGTCACAAGAACCTTAAAAGGCGGCCCTCAGAGAAAGTCACTGTCTTGCCAAGGTCTTCCGAGAGCATATACCCAAGTCCGACTCCATGGTCTTTCCTAAGCTGCTTAACATCCCTCGAGAGTCAATACTGCTGACTTGGCATTCACTTTCCTCAGCTGAACACGTGAGAGCTCTTGCCATGAAGCCCAATAAACATTTACTGTGTGGCACGCATGCACACCAATCAGGGTTTTCCATGTCCTGGATGTTTGGGGTTAGCCTGAGATAGGATCTTGCTCTGTAGCCCAGGATGGCCTTGAAGGTGTGACCCTCCTCCTTCAGCCTCTGCAGTGCAGCTTGACAGGTGACACTGCCCTCATCCCGCTAAGACACTGAGGGGCTTCTTTCCTTCGTGGCACTGGGGATTGAACCCAGGGCCCCAGGCCTACTGGGCAAGCATATTACCACTCAAATAGCTCTGGCGTTTGTGATTCTCCTTCTGAAATAGTCTCATTAAATTTCTCTAACTGGCTGTGAGTTCACTTGAACTCAGGGAAGCCCGGCAGGCTCTGAGCTTGGGGCCCTCTTGCCCAGTCCCCCAGGTCCTGACATGGCAGGCACAGACCACTGTGCCTGTTTCCTTTACTTCTTAATATGACTAACATTCTTAAAACCTACCAGATGGGCATATAGCCTAGTGATAGGAGTGTCTGCTACATGTGTAAGGGCCCAGGTTCAATGCCCAGTGTGCTCCCCTACCAAGCCACCTGTAGAAAACAAAACAAACTCAACCTATCAGCTGGGAATGCAGGCCTAGCACATGCAAAGCCCTAGACTGACCTGACAGAACCACAAGACAACAAACCCCACCCGAAACGCAGTTTAGAAAATTTGTGGTGAGCACCATGGCATCAAGGCAAGCTAGAGAGCACCACGCCGAGTGGGACGGGCATTCACTGCACTCTAGTGATGGTATGATGGGAGATGTCATTCTGTATATGTTTCTCTTATTGCTTAATGAATGAAGCACAGTTGGCCAATAGGAAAGGAAAATGGGAGGGGCTAGGAGACAAGGAGGAGAGAGGAAGGGGTAGGGAGGAGTCAGCATGGAGAGACTGGAGAGAACAGAGGTCCAGGCCCACTCTCCGGGAAGATGAGACCACGTGGAAATACTTAGATTAATAGAAATGGGTTAGTAATTAAGATAGAGCTAGCCAATAAGAAACTAGTACCTGGCCAACAGCAGTATATCTAATTCAGAGTCTCTGTGTGTTAATTGGGGCTGGCTTGGCGGTAGGATTGGCGGCAGGAAAAACCTAACTCCTAACAGTAGTACTTTGAAAATTGGTAAGGAAATTAAATCTACTGCCACAAAGTGACAGTTTATACTTAACAAGGACGTCACCTGTCTTCAGCTTTACTGGAGATCTTAAACACGATGACGGTGCACTGTACGTGTGTGTGGTCCACTGCCTACACATCATGGCACATAAGGAATATGTGCCACGTACGTCACGTCACAGTGCATGAAGGATGTGTGTCCATTACCATCTGCACGCCATGGTGCACAAGGGATGCATGCTTTCCTATCTATCAACCACTTCAGAAACACTGCGCCCTCACACATCACGCACGCATGCACGCCTGAGCTGGATCTCGCTCTCATTGTGTATCCGCTCTGCCATCGTATCCATGTTGAAACCATTAGCCAGGTCACCAGGGCCTGGGTTCCAGAGTAAACACATTCTGTTCTGGTTTTAAAGTCCTCATCTCACTCAGGATCAAACACATACAGTTAAGTACCAACCACACAACCACTGACACATGGGGCGGAGTGACCAGGGAGAGCACCAACCCCTTTTTAAAGACACACGCTTCTCCAGTGTCTTCAAGCTCAGTCTGGCCCATCACCATTAGACAAAGCCTTCATGTCAAACACACATACTGGAAGGACTTAGGTAAACGTTTCAGGGCAGCCTGGCTCAAAAACATCCACCAACCTACTACATGCAAGGAACCTGTCACTCATAAATTCTAACCCTTTCAACAGTCTTGGGAGAGCCGCCTGGTGTTCCACATATAGAGATTAAGGTGCCAAGAGATCAAGTAGCACCAAGCCCCATGGAAAACAGCAGAACTGCAATTGGACCCAGGTCTGTCCAAACGCCTCTGGATGAGATTTCCTGGGCTGAGTCATGAACAAAGTGTTCGCCCAAAAAGGCAGAGGCGGAACTGCAGAGGGTGGGAGTCATTCAGGTAGAGAGAGCTCTGCCTGTACCGACAGACTCAGCGGGGCGGGAGGCAGGGCAGGCGGATCTCCGGGAGTTTGAGGCCAGCCTGGTCTACAGAGCGAGTTCCAGGGCAGCCAGGACGACTGAAAAACCCTGTCTCGAAAAACCTGGGGGTGTGGGGGACACACATAGAAAGACAAGACACAAGAGAGCAGCCAAATCCATCACCTAACTCCTAGATGGGAAGCAAAACTAGGCACCCTTCTTGAAGGGCAGTCTGCAAGCACCCTGCACACTGGCGGGGCTCACAAGGTATCCAAGTCCAGCTGGCACTAAATGAGCCTGAGAGAGCTAAGCATTGCGACAACCGCTCAAAGGAGGTGCTTGGGATGAACTTGAGGCTGCTGGGGAAGACTGCCTCCCGGCCTGCCACCAGTTGCTTCCAGCCGGGCCCAAACACAGGTGCTGCTGATGCTGGGGCTTCAGTGTTAGTGTAGGCCTTCACTGAGCCAGTGCTCAGTGTGTGTGAGGCCTGCCCAGGAATCTCAACTCCAAACACACCAGTAAGGAGGCAGCTGTGTTGAGGACACTGAAAACTGAAGTCAGACACTGACTCCTGTGGTCACAGACGATGGGGGCAGAGCAGGGAAAAGCTGCACAAAAGCTCTGAGGTGAGGAAGTCCTGGGAGACAAGACAGGAAAGGATGGAGGTGGGTAGGCAGTGTCTCTTCAGCCTTCACTCCCCTGTTGCCTGGGGTCAGCACGGATCTACTGTTCCCCATGGTCCTAGAGCGCCCTGGGACGAGGGGCAGATGTGAAGGCAGATCTATTTTGAGATCAGGTCATACTGTGCACTGCCAGTGGCCCAGGGCTCCCTCTGTGGGACCTAAGGAGATCTTCCTCCAGAGTGCCAGGAGCAAAAGGCATGTCACCACACTGCTTATTCTGCCAGTGGCCTGTCAGCCCCAAGTGTCACAAAGCAAAAATACTCTACACCTCACATGCATTACAACCAAGTTAAAACTAAAATCGCCAATAATAAGACTAACTCTGCCTCCTACAGAATTAACTGCTAATCCAATGGAAGGTCAGACCATCGAGACTCTCCAGTGCCCCAAATAAAAATAGAAACGTAAGAGGAACCCTGTCCTCTCAAAAATGAAAACCTCACCTGTTTTATAAATAAGCACACAAATATTCTACTTCAACAATCTTACATGATTTTCCACACTGGATGCTGTTTACAGCAAAACTTCTTTAAAAACGTCTATTATTTTACACCCTGCTTGCTGTTTACCTCCCCCCTCATTCCCCACCCCCACCTGCCCTCCACCCACACCACCCACCCTTCCTCAGTCTACTTCAGAAAGGAGCAGGCCTCCCATGGGCGGCAACAGAGCCTGACACCTCAAGCTGAGGCTGGACCAAGCTCCTCCCTTGCATCACGTCTGGGCAAGGCAACCCAGCCTAGGGAATAGGTTCCCAAAAGCCAGCTCAGATCCCACCGTTAGGAGCACACGCACAATCAGAGATGTCGGTTCAGAGTCCGTGAGCTCCCACAGACTCAGGTGGGTTCCCCCTCATCAGCTTGACCCCTCTGGCTCATAAAACCCCTTCTCCCTGCAAAAGGACTCCAGGTGCCATAACCCCAATTAGAGCGATGAAGTTTGTAAAAGGCCTTACTTCTACTTTTCACTGGATAAGGAAATAGCAGGTCACCCAGAAGTAAAGACAGTGGCATCGTGGTGCCTTTTGCCTTCCTTTGCATCACAACTTTGAGAAGGACCTAAAACCCAACTAAGGGTGGAAGGTAACCCCCACTGAGGTGGCCTTGGGACCAAACACACAGAATTAGGTTAAGGATTAAACAATGAATTTTCACAACCAATGTGTATTCCTTTTTAATACTTTATTTCTTCAGATTAGAGATTACAATTTCATTTCTGCTTGTCCCTCCCTTAAGATCTACAAACACTCAGGTATAGAAGTCCAAATCACCTTCTCCCACTGGGAAAGGGAACACACTTCTTCAGAAAGAGGGAGAGAGGGCAGGGCAGTTTCCAGAGAAAGGAAGAGTAGTTAACTTCCACCAGACAGAGGCAGAGGGCATAAGGGCTAACTTGATGGTCCTGCCTACTCAAGAATGAAAACTCAGATAAATGGCGAAGGCGAAAAGCTGGGCAGTGTTCTGAGTTGTTCCTGCTTCCCGTTTGGCATTCTAGACAAAACCCTACAGGGTACACACAATCGATGCAGGACAGCCCCAAACAATGCAACAGCAGCATGAAGACGCCAAGGCAGGGGCTGCCATGGCAGTCCTCAAGACTCCTTGGTTCCTGCACAGCAGGCTGTGTCCAGGAGTGCCTCTGTGATCAAATCAGGCATGTGGAAAGTTGCTGCTAAGCGCTAGAAATGAGAAGCCATTTGGGTCACTGTGAGATGACCCCAGAGTAGGCACTGCAGAGTACAGCCAGGGTTCCCAAGAAAAATGTGGCTAAAAATACCAGAAGTTATCACTCTCAAGCAGGCTCTAGGAGGCGGGACCCACGTCCTGCAAGCTTTCTCTGCCGTCGCTCCCACTGTCCTCTCCAGCCAGGCTCTCCTGCTGACAGGCCTCTTCAGACCCAGCAAGTGTGTTGCCCTGACTCTCCTTGGAACCCAGAACCACGTATCTGCCTTTCTTCAGCACCAGCTGCCGTCTCAGCTCATCTGCCATCTGTGAGAGATCTCTCTTCATGGCGTACGCATCTTCTCCATCCGCATAGTACTTGGGCTCCACCTCGCTAACCTGGAAGTTCAGGGTGTTGGAATAGAGATGCAGGGCTGCTCGGTTGCTCTTCCTGACATGCAGGGATACGTATTTAGCGCTGAAATTCTCGATCATGGCCCGGGAGGCCTGGTCCATCAGCTTCTGGGCCAGGCCGAGACGCCGGTGGGAGCGTTTCACGGCCAGTGAGGTGATGTGTCCATGAGGGACATCATCAGGATCCTCTTCCATTTTGGCCAGGACATAGCCTACGATCTTGCCGTCCTCGTCCTCGGCGATGTAGGAGAGCTGGGGCCAGGAGAGGCCGTGGTAGAAGTAGTACTTCATCTGGTAGTTCTCGGGCAGGCACAGCAGGTTGCAGTGCTGCATGTTCATCAGGTCCTCGGGCCGAGCACGCCGGATGTTCATTGTGGCAGCAGATAGGCCTGTCAGGCTCCGGAGAACAAGAGAGGATGCCACGGAGCACAAGCGACACCAACACCGTTTGCCTCGAGGAATTGACACAAAGGTGTATCAAAACTCAAGAAACACTGCACTGTCATTATAACTGTATCTCTGAAGAATACGGATTTAACAGGTAGGCCTGGTCATGTGACCTTAACGTGACTACATGAGCTTAATTTTGTTCTCTTGCTTGCAGAAGCTCTCATCCAACAAGACCTTGGGAGCAGGGTCTTGGCAAACACTGAGATCCTGCTAGCGAGGACGGGGTCTCTGCCTATGAAGCTACTTGCTCATGGGACAATTAATCGAGAAAGGACTAACACAGCATCCAAACTCCCCAGTCTCCTGTTAACTCTTGGGACCTTCCTGGATTCTATTTGCAACAGCACTGTGTGCAAAGCATCTCGAAACGGGCTGCTTGGACGCTGGCTCTTGCTTCCATGTGGGCTAGAATATAAACTCAGCAGCACTGTTCCTCCTGCTACCGCCCACCCATTTATCAATGTGTAGTTCAAATATTTCCACCTGTGTTTTATAGAAGACTGAGTAGATACCCACTACTATTTTCTCCAATAACCATTTTGAAATATCTAAGAATAAATGGACGAACACTGCTTTGTATATGCCCAGTGTACTTATCCCACAGGTTACTGAGCTTTAAGAAGCATGGGCAGCATTTGTAAGTGCTTCCTAAGCATGTATGTGTCTGAGCCAGAACCATCTTTCACAAGCTCCACAGTAACATCCGAGCATACACTCTGCTTGTGTCCGAGGCCCTCGCCTAGCTAAGTGCTGACTTCCAAAGATCGGCTAACTCAATCCTTACCATCAGGTGTAAGACAGGCTCCCGTATGTTAGTCTGCAGACGCTCTATAAATATCACTTGTATAGCTTTCTAAAATTATGTATGTACATCTGCATTCTTAACCTGTGTGCATGTGGTACTGACATGCCAATGCCGTGCGTGTGTGGAGGTCAGAGAACAGAGAACAAGTTGCAGAGTTGGTTCCTGACTGCGATGTGGGTTCCTGTGTGGCAATGACTCCATCTGTTGAGGGATCAACAGCCACAGTAGCGGTTTCTTTCAGAAACAATATATCTCTAAAGGTACTTTAAATGCCATTGTATGGGCCTTTTAATATACAAACTAACTGTCCACTATTTTTGTGTGTCCCAGCATAAAGGAGTACTGATCTCTAGAGCACTTCTGTGCCTAAGTATACTCCTCCCTGATGGGAAAGGAGATCACAGGTAGTCATGTGAAATCAGCTCTGCAGAGAACTCAGTAAGCTCTAGAGCTTCAGGGCATCTGCTCCCCACCGCCTTTCTTCCTTCAATATTTAATATTCAAAACTGGCGCAGCATCAGGTGGAGGTGGGCACCAGAGGAAGCAACACATTCTAGAAGTAGGACACCCAAGTCCAGCCTGGACACACATAACTTTTACTCACTTTAAAACAGCTGGGATATCCAAACAGGACTCATACAAGATGAGAAAGATCTCCCACTATCTTCCATTTCTGCGGAGGGAGATTTTTAAATAGTTATACTGTTCTTTATACTAAAATCTTAAATTTCAAAATTTTCTGTTCCTCAAAATTTCCAGAAATATGAATTTACATTCTGCCATTATACTGAGAAAGCAAAACATTAATAGTCTTCTTAATTTATTTTAAATTACATTTTAATAGCTATGCTAGAACATAGTATTAAATGTTTATTAAAGACAGGGAAGAGATTGCTCAGTGGTTAAAGACCTTGCAGGACCCAAGTTCAGACCCCCCCCCCACCCAGAAACCCACATAAATACCAAGAAGGCATGGTGGTCTAGTCTTGGAAGATGAAGACAGGGATCCCAGGAGCAAGCTGGCTAGCGAGACTAGCCTTATTGGCAAGCTCTAGCTTTGAGTAAAGACCCCGTCTCCGTGGGTAAGGAGGGGAGGACTGATGAGGACTGCTAACACCTCGAGCCACCATCTGCAGCTGGTGTGCGCATGAGCAGGGAGCTGGGACACAGCCACCTGCCTAGCATGCCAGCACCAGTTCTTAAAAAGGGAAAGGTGGGCGTTATTAAGAATGCCATCAAGATCCCTGTAAATTTGAGGCCACCCTGGTCTACAGAGCTAGTTCCAGGACAGCCAGAGCTGTTACACTGAGAAACCCTGTCGCTTGAAAGACAAACAAAAAGAATGTAATCAAATTTTTGGACAAAAGTGCAATCAGAAGACTAAAGAAAATATTTTAAAGCAGAACTAATGAGCCCAATACTAAATACAACATAGATCGGGTAGAACTCACGGCTGTCACCTGCACCCAGCACAGTACAATGAGGAGAGAGAACGTGTCTGGGGAAAAGCCAAGGGCACCGTATCCAGCCGTCCTAACAGGACACCCCCCCCCGCCCCCCCCACTCCCCGCCCCGGCTGCTCTTGCCACCTTCAGGTTAGGGCAGTTAAAGAGCAGCCGCCCCTAACTCACTCCCTCAGCAGAATGGCCTTGCTTTTAATGATGCTTCCCCTCGTTCTCAACTCTAGTCCTGACTGGCAAGACAGTCAGCATGGGAGAGAAATGCTGTCCCCTCACACCCAGCCACACCCACAGGGCTTGAGTCCAAGAGGAACAGGGCAGGGGTGGCTGAGAAGTTATTGCTGCCCTCAGCCTAATTCATTTCCACCCAGGGGTTCCTGAATTCCCTGGAACCCTCTCTAATGCTTCCTGGGCCTTGACCCAGACCAACAGGGTTCCTGAGACTCACTTCACAAACAGTCCCAAGACACCTGGGACAACTGGATGTCGGAACTGTCCTCTACCATTCTCTCCTAAATCCGAAAGCAGAAACCAACTCACCCACAGAAAGCCAAATGCTGCCTCTCCTACATATCCCATACATATACTCTCCTATGTGTTACTCCAAAGAATTTCTTTGTATAGTGACTGTGGCTCTGTGCATGGCCCAAGTCCCTGGCTTCACTAGCAGCACAAGTAAATGAAGTGACATGCAATCAGGGAGCCATTTGGAAGAGAAGAATCACTTTAAGGCAGTTTACATTAGCATCTGTGAGAGGGAGACAGTTTCAGCATTTCTATTAGGGTTTATTCTTTAAAACAAACTCAGGATAGGCACAGTGGCAAATGCCTTTAATCCTAGCACTGGGAGATAGAGGAAGAGGCAGGCAGATGTCTGTGAGGGCTACACACATCTATGCCTGATTACACAAGTTCCAGAGCTACTCAGAACTACTGTGTCAAGAAAGAAAACAAAGAATATTCAAATTCCTTGCGGAATAGAATAATTAAATATTTTGCCCCATTGTTACAATTACAAAAGCCTGAGTAAGTTAACCTAAAATTGTCTGAAGGAATTCTCAAAAAGAATAAACCTCCCAAGAGACTCATGCCTATACTTGTGATGAGGCAGGGAGAAATAAAGTCCAAGATCAGCCTGGGACACACACACACACAAACACGTTAAAAAGTTTACCATAATCTAGAAGTTCTGATCTTACCAAGAAATAGCCAATCCTGTTAAACTACTTAGTAAGCTCCAACACTCCCAACAAGGCTTGTAAATTCACTTTATCCACCACACACACACACACACACGATACAGATCCTGACTGGCCTCGAACTCAGATCAGTCTGCCTCAGCTTCCAGAGTGCTGGGAGTTAAATGCGTGTGCCACCGCACCAGACGCGAGTAAATTCTTTTTTAAAAAGAACACAATCAGGGTCCACAGGAGGCACACCTGTAATCCCAGCACTCTAAGAGGAGTAGTCTGAACGCTGATGAACTCAAGGTGCGTCTCGATTACACTCTAGAACTTTCCCGATCGTCACAACAAAATTCATCATCACGATGAGTCACTTACTTTAGGGAGTTAGATCACAAATCTCTCCAGAGTTGAAAAGGCTGTATTTCTGGGACAAACCTTCCCCGTGCGTGCGTGGTCACGAGCCCTGAGTCGCTCTCTCTCTTGCCGAGTCCCTGGGTCTGCACGGACCACGGGGCTCAGGCTTGAACCTAGCGACCAAGCCGCGCCGCGCCGCGGGGAGGGGGGGGCCCAGCCGAGCGCGAACCGCACTGCGCGCGCCGCCCTTTACCTTTTCGGCGATGCTGTACAGAACCTCGTCCATCTTCATGCAAGTGGGGTCCCAGTCGTGTCCGAAACGAATGACGACCACGCGGTCCTCCTCCGAAAGGATGGCCTGGTCTACCTGCCAGCCATTGTGCAGATGCGGAAGCATGTACGACATCTTGAGCGCGCCTTGCTGCGCGGCCGCGCGCCGCCTGCGGGTGCACAGAGGGTGAGCGCGCGGCCGCGCCCGGGCCCCGAGACCCCCCGGCCCGCTCGCCCACACCCCGCGCCCGGGGCCCCACGGCGGGCCCGGGGCCCGAGGCCTGCGCGGGGCTCGGCTCGCACCGGGACCACACCCTGTACCTCCACCGCCACCGGGGCCACACCCCGGCGGCCCCAGACTCCCCCACCCCCGGCCCGGGGCCACACCGGGCCGCCGCTAACCTCGTGAGAGCCCACGCGGCCCGACCGCCTGCCCGCTCCTCCGCGAAGCGCCAGCGCCCGCCGCGCCCCAGAACCTCGCGGCGTACGCGCAGACGCTTCCTGTCGCTGCTGCGCAGGCGCACGCCTGCACGCACGCACGCACGCGCGCATGCGCGGTGAGGACGCGGGAGAGCCTCTGGGCTTCTCGGTTACCGAGCTCTTTCCCGGGCATCCATCCGCGGGCACCGCCGGATCCTGGACCCAGCCTCCTCCTTAGCAAGCGCTCCGCCTAGTATTGTGTGGTGGTGGTTTGCCTCTGCTTTTATTGGTTTTTATTGTGCTGAGAACTATGACAAGTCTGTCCAAGCTCCAGCTCCCTCCTACCGTGAGCCTGTCGGTGGTGCACTCTTGGGTAAAATCTGCTCTTTGAGCGCCATCAGACGCTCCTGACTATGACCACGTTTGTGGTCCTCTGCCTGACCCCAGAGGTGTCGGATCTCCTTGACTCCAGCCATCCTCCTCCTCCTAATTTATCTTTCACAGATGCAACCCTCTTACCCCTATACGTTGGTAGTACGACTCATTTTCCTCCCCACAAGACCCTGTCGAGGTGTCCCTGAACCATCTTAAGCTTTCACACGTAGGATTGATTTTCTTTTCCGTTACTGTATATCTATGTGCGTATACATGTGTATATTTGTGTATATATAAATTTGTTACTTTAACCACTTACTGGCATATCCTCCTCATAAAATTTAGAAATTAAAAAGCAGGGGCTACAGAGACGGCTCTGAAGTGAAAAGCATTTTTTTCCCCTCTTCCAGAAGACCCAGATTTGATTTCCAGCATCCATTTGTTGTCTGGCAGCTGTCCATAACTCCAGTTCCTGGGAATCCAGCTTCTAGTCTCAGGCACAAGGCACAAACAATGCACTTACATACTTGTAGGCAAAGCATTCATACAAATAGAAAACAAATCTTTGTTATTGTTGTTGTTTCGAGACAGAGTTTCTCTGTGGCTTTGGAGGCTGTCCTAGAACTAGCTCTTGTAGACCAGGCTAGTCTGGAACTTACAGAGATCCCCTGCCTCTGCTTTTGAATGCTGGGACTAAAAGCATGCGCCACCAACGCCCAGCTAAATATTTTTTTTTCTTAAGTTCAGGTACATTCTTGGACTACGTAGTATGTATAAGGCCAGTCAGAAATACATAAGATACTGTATCAAAAATAAGTAAAAAGTTTTTAAAAACACAAAAACTTTTATTGACATATATTGTATATATACTCTAAATATCATCCACGTAAGTTCAGAGAACTATGAAACTAAGACTACAATCAAATTTTTTTTGGGGGGGGGAATCACTCTTAAAAGAAGAGGTAATTGTTTCCCATCTCCAAATCTCTCCATCCTCTGGCAATCACTAGTCTATATTCTGCTTGTAGATTGACCTATTCTATACATTTCAAACAAATGGAATTGTATGTGATCAGCCTAGCAGCCATCCCGAGTCTAGACAGCTTCATGTTCTGAAGTCCATACATGTTGTAGCTAACATCGGTATTTCCTCTTACTGCCTTCCAATATTCAATTACATGAATATGCCATTATATTCTGTTTCTCCTGTAGTTCATTGGCATAGGTTTTCCTGCCCCCCCCCCCCGGCCGCCTTTTGTTGTAAATAAATTCTTCCCTCACAGGCAGAACACTTTTGTCTGCCCATTGCACTTCAGCTCATCGCGAATCTCATTACTCGATGGGGCCCACCCCAACTGTGATCCTCACCCTGCTCATCTCTCTGGACACTAGCCTTGCATCTTGCTTCCATGCTTCTGTGTGTTGCCTTCCAGTGTTTCTGTGGCTCAGCTCTAATCTTCAGCTCAGCTTAAATGTTCATATCGGAGACCCCGGAGCTCAGCTCTGAAGTTCCAGCAGATCTCCAGCTGGATTCCTTATGTTCTCTAACCACTTCTGTTTCCAGTAAGGCCTCTTTGAACTATGAGACCTCTTTAAAACTTTTGTAGCCTCCCTTAACCTACACACACACACACACAGACACACACACACACACCTTACATACATTACATGTGAGGTGTAATGTGTGACCTAAGAGTTATTATCAATAAGATTGGAATAAAAGAACCTGTGTTTGGCAATAAGCCACAGGAACCAAGAGCACTTGGTAAAGTCAACAAAACCAGCACAGCTGTGGCTTTATTGCTATTCTATACATTCTGGCATTGTGGGAAGGCACAGCCTACTCCATGTTCTGGCATAGTACACTGCAACTACTGTTTTGCAGATGACTGAGTCCTATTATCGCTATTATTGTCACCTTCACCATATTCATCATCTCCATCCAACACTTCCCCTAGAGTCTCTGCCACCCAGTCCAGTGTCACTGTACCAGGCGCCTGCTAAGTCGATGTGATTAGCCTTGAGGAACTTAAAGCTTTAATTCATTGCATAGACGGTAGTAAGTGTTGTTTTAATTTTATGGTGAAAATGGCCAGTTTCAATACACTTTCTATACATTAGTTCAAGATAAACCTCCTCCAAACATGCTGTTCTCATTTGCTATTTTGAATTAAAGGCATTTAAAGATTAGCACACACCAAAAAATTCCCTTACTTGTATTATTTCTTAAAAGAGGATAAAGTCCCTGTGTAAAGTTGTTCTCGGCCAGCCTTTGTGGCGCACACCTACTATACCAGACCTTGAGATGCTGAGGGAGAGGGTTTCAGGTCTCTCCCCTGAAGTGACAATCCTGTACCACCCCCATCACTGAGCAGGAGACACTATTTAAACATGGCTGAAGGCCCCTTCTATCCTCAGCTACACCTCTCTCTAGGGGCTGACCGCTCTGGTCTAAGCCCTTGGGCCTTGCCGTACTCAGGGCCTACTGCTCTGTCCAATGCAGTGTGTGTGTGTGTGTGTGTGTGTGTGTGTGTGTGTGTGTGTGTGTGTGACTGGCCACCTGTGGAGCTACAGTTCCTCCATGCAACATGAAACTTGGATTTAAAACCTTGGCATACTTTCCTCCTGCTTACCTGACTTGTGCCAGTTTGATTCTCCAGCCCAGGCAGGAGACAGGAGTGGACTTTAGTGTGTCCTGTCATCATGTCCATAGATTATGCTGAAATTTACCACCGGGGATAAACGTCACATCGCAATCCTGTTTGCATCCCTGTTTGCATCAGGGATCCAGCAGCAGCACACAGAGGCTGATGTCCGGGTGTGAGACAGGGCTGCCATTGTCCCTTGTCACTGCTTCAGGTCTCGAGGCACAGTGCTAGTGTCTGCACCAGGAAGCTTGTGAGCCTTTGCAGACACAGAAGGACACAGTGAAAGAGCGGGGTAGCACACAAGTAAGTCATTGTAAAGCAACTGCCTGCACCTGTTTGCTTTTGAGACAGGCTCTTGTATATTTCCTGGGCTGGCCACAAATGCTGGGCTCAAGCTATAAGCAGAGTCATAGACTCTGGGAACTCCAACACATTAGTCCTAGCCATCTGTCCCAAAGAAAGCAATTAAAAGCAGTGACAAAAAGGGAGGGCGGGATTGTCATCAACACAGCTATGTTAGGAAGCTGGACATTAAACATGACAGCCCATTATTGATATGAGATACAGATTTTGTTTTTCAGGTAGTCGTAAGTAGCCCAGGCTGGCCTTGAACTCACCACGAAGTACAGATGACCTTGAACTCCCAATCCATAGGCTTCTACTTCCAAAAGTTGCAGGATTGTAATTGTGTACACTGTGCAGAGTGAGCTTAAGATACAGGAGAAAGCTGGGTGTTGGCAGTGCACGCCTTTAATCCTAGCCCTCATGAGGTAGAGGCAGGTGGATCTCAGTAAGTTTGAGGCCAGCATGGTCTACAGAGTGAGTTCCAGGACAGGCTCCAAAGCCATGCAGAGGAAACCCTGCCTCAAAAAACAAAAACAAAAGAAAGAAAGGAAGGAAGGAAGGAAGGAAGGAAGGAAGGAAGGAAGGAAGGAAGGAAAGGAAAGGAAAGGAAAAATATAGGGGAAGAATGTGGGCTTTGTCAAGAGCTGTGGAGAACTAAGCGGCCTTGATTAAACTGCGGTCTGGTTATTCATTTTCTTAGCATGTATTCTAAGAGGTAGACTAAAGAATCGCTCACTGATAGAGGGGACAGGTAAGTTCCTATGAGGTAACTGCTCCTGTTTGGGGGTTCTCATCACAAGGTGGTTAGTCCATGAGGTTCTGCTGTTCCTAGAATGCACTGGACCTCAGGTTGAGAACTCTAGTCTTTCAGGTGACTTTTGAAGATGCCTGGAATAGGACATTGCAAATATCGACAGCAAAATGCCTCGGTTTCTCTTACTTTTTGTGCTCTAGCCTTGAAGCAGGATAGCAGGCTTAGTGTCACCAACTTTTAGATCAGTACTCGCTGAGTGGCTAATGTGCCCACTTACAGAGTCAGGCGGGAGCCTGGTGCACAGTTTTAAAACAAAAGAGATGCAAAGTGCAGGCAGGATGCCAAGCTGTCGTCCTGCTTTTTGTTACCTTGTGGACCCAAGAGAGATGTTAGTGCTCTTTAGCAAAAGCAGTACCTACATGACCATTATAACATGCTTTCCCAAGAGGACCGCAGTTGTGTATCCCATGGTCTCTGGACAATTTTATCCCTCTGAACAAGTTTGATCACCTTACCTTTTGATCCACCAGTGTTTATACTAGACGGTGAGTAGTGTAGAATTTAGCTAACTCCAGTCTTTCTAGCTATTTCTCACTGATAAAATATCTGAAGCTTTATCTCAAACTCC